CCATTATGGCAGGGAGCATGGTGACACACAGGCAGGCAGGGTGCTGGAGAAGTAGCTGGGAGTTCTACATCTAGATCCAAAGGCAGCAGGAGGAGAAAGACACTGGGCCTGGCTTAAGCTTTGAAACCTAAAAGCCCACCCTCAGCGACACACTTCCTCCAACAAGGTCACACCTCCTAATCCTACTCAAGTAGTGCCACTCTGTAATGACTAAGTATTCAAATCAAAAAGCCTATGGGGACCATTCTTATTCAAACCACCACAATTGTTAAAAAAAAAAAAAAAGTTTCTAGTCTCAGAGAGAAAGCCAAAACTCTCTCAGCAAGTTTCTATACAATCTATTCCATATCATCTTTACCTCACTAAACCCAAGTTCATGCTACTCCAGCCACACCAATTCTCTTACTGTTCCTCAAATCCATTAGGACTTCTACTTTAGAGCTTCTTTAGAAGAGTCCCTTTGCCTGGTCTACCCTTTACTCAGATTTCTACACAGTATAGTTCCTCACCTCCAAGTTTCTGAAGCATCACCTGAACAGCGAGGCCTCCCTTCCACAGTACCTAAAATGTTCTTCATAGTCCAGATTCTCCTTACTTTTACACACACACACACACACACACACACACACACACACACACCAATAAAAAAATGCTATTCTTCCATAAAGAGGACAAAATCATTTTGACAGCACAGTTGGAACTTAAGATCACTGCTAAGTAAAATAAAACAAATTACAAGATCTTCCACATATATGGAATTGTTTTTTAAACTGATCTCATACAACTTGAGAGTCAAAGGGTGGTGATAAGAGACCAGGGAAAACAAGACACAGGGTATGGATGGGGAAAAGATTATCACTGAGACCTAAGTCATAGTTAGGAGTAAGAAGTCTGGTACTTCACAGTAAGATGGCTCTAATGAAAATGTACTCTGTATTTCATAAAACTAGAAGGACTTTTAATGTTTTCACTAAAAATAAATGATAACCGTTTAAGGACACAAATGTTTTATACAGATTTAAAGGTTATAATTAATACACACATGTAAGCAGTTGTATAACTTTTGGAAATATTTTTAGAAAGTATCTTAGTAAGATGGGCATGACCAAATGTGTCAAATGGTGACAAAAATTCAAAAAGATGTAAACCAATAACCAGCTACTGAATTTGGCAATGTGTTAGATCACTGGTGATCCCGAGAGAAATGGCTACTGCAAAATAGAACCAAAGGTAAGTGGGAGGGAGAAGAAGGCAGTAAAATAACTACTTACTATTCTGTTCTAACACAAGAGTATGTCAGATGATAGCACTATTTCTCAGAAGAATTAAGATGAGTCTTTAAGGAAAATAGGAAGAAATAGCCTTTTTCAGGAATAGATGAAATTCATTTTTAAACATTTCAAGTTCTAGATCTATAAACTGTGGATAACTGAGTAAAACAAAGTTTAATGTAAAAACACACCAAGTTAACTATATCCCATCCATGGTCCTTCCTGGTATACATAACTTGAAAACATTTGCTAATATCCACTACTTTATCAAATAAATATTGATGGGCAGTAACAAGGAAAACATAATTTAAAAGCTATAAAATCCTTTGGAAAAAATTTTCAATTAGAAAAAGTTTCAAAACATTTTTAAAGAAACGTTTTAGATCAGGTCATTGATAAGCATCTTTTGTTAAAACTAGAACTAGCAAAATATTATCTTAGAATTAAAACCACTGCTAATACCAAATAGAGAAACTGAAACAACAGAACTTGAAACACATGCACATGTGCACACACACCACACACACAAAGAAAAGGCCCTGCATTATTTTGACAATGAAGTTCACTTCCAAATATAAACAAGTTACTGGAATAAATACTAGTAAAGGATAAACGACCAGAGCAGTTTAGTACACAAAGATACAGAGCAAAAGAAGGAAGACAAATAACTATAAGCGATGTAAAAAAATGATGTGATGTCAAATGGAATCACCTTGAGTCATCCTAGATGACAGTAAGATTATAGAAGGACCAAGTAACAGACTATTCAAATTTTACAACCAGTATAGCACTTACATTTTTAAAAACCACATGACAATTACTTGTTCATTTTAAAACAGTCTTCATCTGGAGTTATATTTTACCAAAAAAAATCACAAGCAAATTTTAAGTAAATGTGGGAAGTTTCTGTCCTGCCTGGTCCTGCAGCCATTCAGTCCCAAAGAAACACACAGAGGCTTATATTAATTATAAACTGTTTGGCCTATTAGCTCAGGCTTATTATTAACTAGCTCTTACAACTTAAGTTAATCTATAATTCTTGTCTATGTTTAGTCATGTGGCTTGGTACCTTTTCTCAGTAAGGCATTCTCATCTTGCTTCCTCTGTGTCTGGTTGATGACTCACTCTGCCTTTTCTCTTCCCAGAATTCTTAGTCTGGTCACCCTGTCTATACCTCCTGCCTCACTACTGGCTAGTCAGTGTTTTATTAAACTAATACAAGTGACAAATCTTTACAGTGTACAAGAGCCTTATCCCACAGCAGGGAATAAAACTGATGAAAACATTTTCATTATTAAGGCTAATATCATAACATTGTTTTCTACTATCCATCACATTTATGAATGCTGTATCTTCTGCCATGAAATAACTGAGCAATTACTGGAATGGTTTCTATGCTTACAGGTCATGGAATACTGAAAAAAAATGGGTTTTAATGTTTGACTGTTTTATTTCACAAGAATAATCTGTCATTACTATCTGAAATACAATTTCTAAAGCACTTTGATTTCTCAATTTTATTCTTAGTATTGTATTAAATCTGTACCACAATTTAGTATGCTGTATGGTTCAGATTTTACTACCCACTACAAGTTTTCAGGAAATCCTTTTAAATTGTCATAAATTATGTAAGAATGTTTCATTTACACAAATCACAGACATGTAGAGTATGTTTGCTGTTTGGAAGTATTTTGAGACAGATGTATAGGTTGCACAACTCTTACAGAAGGCAAAAGTACGACCTTCTTTATAGTTTACTGAAATGAAATATAAAACTTGCAGTCAGCGTAGCTTGGTGATACAGCACTTGATTATGTGTAAGGCCCTGGGCTTAATCTGCGATATAAAAAATAAATAAATAAAAAATTCAAGCAATGTGGAATATAACTTCTAACTAATGTTAGAAGAATGGAGACACACCTTACTAGACCTGGATGGAGGTGGGTGGTCCTTGGACTTCCCACAGGGCAGGGACCCTGATTGATCTTTGGGCTGACAAGGGAGGGGGTCTTTCTGGGGGGAGGGGGAGGGAAATGGGAGGCAGTGGCGGGGAAGAGACAGAAATCTTCAATAAATTAATTAATTAATTAATTAAAAAAAAGAATGGAGACATAACTTCATCTCCCTCAAATAAGTCACATCAAGTTTAGGAGACCCTCCATATAACAGGGCTCTCACAAGGAGCAGAAACAATGGAACTGCACTCCCTATAAAGAGCTCACTGTCCTTTACACCAGCGCTACTCTCTGAATTTAACCTCAGACTATCTGGAGGGGGCTGCTACTCAAAGCTACTTGATGTCAGTAAAGTTAGAGCCCAAGTCCTTGGAGAAGGACAGGCATGACAGGATTGTAGAAAGAAAAGAGACTGGGAAAAATCTGCTCTTCGGGTGAATAAGATCAGTAATCACTACAACTTCTGTTCAAGTTAGTGATTTTGGTTTTAGGTCTAAAGCCCTCATCAGCACCACCACAGAAAAAGCCTAATTTGAGGAGAATAAAATTGCTTCTCAGATTCCTTTCTAAATGTGGAATCTAGTAAACCTCCACTGCAGTGTCTATAAAACCAACTGAGTAATATGATAAAAGCCCCCACCATGCCTTCCATACTCTACAATTTCAGATTCTGATTACTTTCCCTTGGCTCCATCCTATCTGACCTTCTGTTTGCATTAGGCCCTCTTCCCCCTTATAGATGTAGAGAGGGCCAAAATAACACAACTTCATGGAATTTCAGCACCAGAGCGTCTTGCTTACAAGACATCAAACCACGATACTAATTTGAATCTTGTGAAACATCCATGAAGGAATAAAATTAAATTTGATAACAGAACCTGTGTTAAAAACTCAGAAACAGTAACACAAACACACTCTCAAATTTTTCTGTAATATAGTCACTACGATAGAAGGCAGAAATGTGCTTGGGGCAATAATCAATTCTAATGCTCCTAACTTAAAAGTTCGGCTGAGATGCTGAAAATTAGCCTTTGAATGCACAGCTTCCCAGAGAAATGTAAACATCACGACCAACTTTAAGATGCAGATCAATAAAGAGCAAAACACACACACCCTGTGATTTAAATTATAAACAGGAAAGCCAATTTAAGATTACTCGGATGAAGATAAACAACAGGACTGGAAATCAGTGAGATTATTTCTCACATAAGACAGACACCCTCAAACTGCCTTCCAGTGTGATTTTTAACCTCCCGTGAACTGCCTCGAGAGAAATACCCGAGTCTCTCTGCCGATAACTGCTGGTAACGAAACCTGAACTAACAAGTACGGCCAAGAGTCGAGCACCCTCCTGGGCACCGTGTGCTGCGCTCCCCAAGTCCAGCCTCCGCTCTGCGGAGCTTGGGTCGGTTAAGTATTTTCTACCGCTGGCTCTCTAAGATCTCCTTTAACGGGAAACCAGTCACGGGTCTAAAAAGGAAAAAGTGTTAGCCAAACAACCTTTCGACAAGTTTCCTGACTTTGATGGAATGGGAAAGGTCACAAAACCATGGAGGTGACTGCCCTGCGGACCGTCCTCACGACCCGGTGGGTCGGGAGGAGGCTTCCCTAGAAAGCCGAGTGCTCAGTAGGTGGGCTCGGGATCAGACAGACGCGCCTCGCGTCCCTGGGTGATGCTCCTTTGCAGGAGTGGTCACGACTTCCCCGAAGGACAGGCCGGTGCAAACTCCGAGAGCGCTTGGCAGGGGTGACAGCGCTCCCGGGAGCCCCATACCTGATGATGTCGTCGCTGTGGCCGCGGTAGAACTTCTGCCGATGCTCCCGGGGGCTGTACACCACGCCGACCCCCGCCACGAAGTACACAATCTCCTTGGCGGCGGTGTAGTAGAGGTTGTTGCGGCACTGGTGGCCCCGGTAGCCGTACACCCACTCGAGCCGCAGGTGGCAGCTCGGGGCGCTCCGGGCCGCCATGTCGGGGCGCCCACCCGTCGCTGCGGTTCGGGCCCGCGGTCGCCGCCGGCTCTGGACGACCAAAGCTCTCCCGCTGGCGGCCCGGACGCTCCTCTAAGCCGAGCCCGGCAGGTGCATCTCGCTCGTGTGGCCGCCGCCGTCTCAGCCCACGGGCGGGAGGAAAAGCCTCGCCTCACCGAACATGCCGAGGGCCGCTAGCCCCGCCGGCCGTCAGGGAGCCTCGAGCGTCTCGGAGCTCGCCGCGCGTCTCCTCAGCCCTGTGTCTAGGCGGAAAGACGACCCAAGCCCGGGGGGCCCGCCGCTTCTCAGCCGGCCCCGCGCGCCCGGCTCCCCGCCGGGGTCACCTGCGGCGCTCAAGTCTAGCCGCAGCCTCGCCTCCACAGCCCGGCGGTACCGCGCCGCGCGCTCCCGAACCCAGCTGAGGGGCGGGCGGGCGGGCGGAGACGCGCGGCCCCGCCCTCCCGGGCTCTCGCCCCGCCCCTCCTCTGCGCTAGCCCCGCCCACAAGGCAGCCCCGCCCCTCCCGGAGTTAGAGTAGAATCGGGGGCTCCAGGCTCACCCGCAGCCCTCCCTACTAAGATCTAAGTACGTGTTCCCACCCTCGCGGGACCTGAATTCCTCACTGAACCTCTCAGAGCTGGATTGCTGTTGTTCGGCTTTCTTGCCCAGGAATCTGAGCAACCTCAGCTACTTCATATGCCTGTGAATTAACATCCCTTAACCACCTCCTCCATACCTTATGTGTGTATTTCTGCTTATTTATAGTGCTCTCTGGTTCATGAATTTGCCAAGAATAAAATCCGACCTCGCAAATGTACTTTTGACACTTTAGATACAATGTCCTAGTAAATAGCGCTGGCTCCTGGATTTGATGATACTATTGCTGAACAGGCCTCAAACTCATGATCCTCCTGTTTCTGCCTCTTGAATACTGGGATCACAAATGCTTGTCACTGCCACCACCCTCATCCCCACTCCCACCGCCAGACGTTCTTTCAATTGCTGTTTTGGATAGCAGCAATTATATCATAATTAAAATGACTTCTTGAAGGCCATGTTTTAGCGTAATTGTGAGATGAGATCAAATGGTCTAAATTATTGTAGCTAGGTAGACCACCCCTGAAAGAGACATTGACTATGTAAATTCAAGCACTACATTTGGAAAAAATTAAATATTTGTTGCTGTACATATGTAAAATATTAATTACTAGCTACATATTATTTTATGAGGCAGGATGTAGAATAAGAATTTCTTTCTGTACCAATTTTTTTTCAGCACAGTGTTTTACAGATCCCATGACACATATTTAAGAACTTCAGATTAATAATAGATTTAAACAATTTATTTTCCCATTATCATATTTTCCATTGCAATTTTTAATGACCCAAGGGTAGAGTATGAAGCAAAAACATTCTTAATTAAGCCGTCCTCAAATGACAACTCCTGACTAAAAGAGATGGCTGAGGCACAGCAGTGGCTAGAAAATGAACCACTCATGAATACCCAAGGAAGGAGACCAAATCTGACCAGTTCTTATGTGATCTGTTACTAGCGTCAGAGCAGAAAGGGCAGTCAAGCCTCTGCTGCTAGATGACGTGTTTGCTGTCACTCTCTGAAAGTCGCGCAAATATAGTGTGGCAACCAGACCCCAGATATTCCTTGGATCAACAAACGGACACCTGGTGGACATTTGAAGTAACAGAACCATCATCCCTTGGCAATCTGCTTCTTGAAATACAAAGTCCTACTATGAAGCTGCATGTTCCAGATACTTGAAGTGTGTTCTAAAATTGAAGTCTATTAGAGTTTCCTGGTGCTGTTCGCATGTCAGCACCGTGCCATGCATCCTTCAACCCAGAAAAGAAACAGAAGGTCGGCACCAGGGCGATGGCTCAGAGGGGAACGTGTTTGCTGAGCAAGTGTGAGGCTTGGATCTCCAGGTCCCTAAGTGCTGAACGCTAGGGAGGCAGAGGTAGGTGTATCCTGGGCTTCACTGACCATCCAGCCTAGCTAAAAAAAGACGGAGGCCCAGGTTCAGTGCGAGAGTTTGTCTCGAAAAAGATGGGGCCAGCAAAATGGCTCAGCAGATAAAGGAGCTTGTCACCGCCGGGCAACCTGAATCTGATTCCTGAGAACCATGTGGTATAATGAAGAACCAACCCTTCACCCTCACGGGTTGTCCTCTGACTCCCACTTATACATGTGCCCCCCCATAATTAAAAAGAATGTAGTTTTAAAAAATTGAATAAGATGCACAGAGGAAGATATCCAACATGGACCACTGGCCTCTACTCACACACGCAAAGGCAAGTATACATGCATGTGTACACACACACACACACACACACACACACACAAAGAAAAGCATGTAAAACATAACTAAAATTTATGATATTCTAGCTATCGACTTCAGGCAGTTATAAATTGTAATAATGTTTTAATTTCTACACCCATGCTTTTGATCACTCTTATTTGGACATAGACCCTATGGCAGATGTTCCTTATATCTATGTCAACCATTAAATATAAAACAAAATCTGATGTACTCACAGTAGCACTCCTCTTGGTTTTATCAGAAAGCAATCATTTTCTGATACTCATACCCTATGACTGTGTTAGTCAGAGGTTATTGGTTGTAAACTGCCTTAAGATGAAAGAGAATTGTAATGTCTCGAAGACTGAAAAGTGCAGGAACTGGCATCAGTGTAGTTGAACCCTAGGATGCCAGTCAGAACCAGTCATAGAACTAGCCCGGATTTATTTGGTGTTGCTTCAGTTGCCAGACAAGCAAAATAATTGTCAACAACTCCATCTATAGACCAATCCCCTTAGCTCGAAATCCCTGAGAAATAGCTTTAATTTTTGGCCATCTCCTGGAAATTAGTAAACATCAACTTCATTGTCTCTAATTAGCTGACTTGGGTTATGGATGCGACAGAGGAGTGTCAGGTGTGTCAAAGCCGCAGAGCAAGAGGATGGGGAAAACCAGCCCTTCCAGGGGTATTAAGATTAAGGGATGGCTGCCTCTAGTGATTCTCAGGGTAGACCTGGATGCTCAATCATCCCCCATCTCTGTTTACCAAACCAGAGACACCAGCAACTTAATTAAAAAGCAGGTGTAAAAAAAATGCAGCTCTGAGACGAGGCTCCTTCTAACCCAGACTGGCACCCAAAATTCCTCCTGCGAAGGAGCGCCAGATGTCAGACTGGCAAAAACAACAGATGTCCCATGCCTGAGAACAATGGTTCCACGAGTCTATTAGATTCCACCCAAAGCTTTTAAAAATTGGCATATAATCCAAATAAAATGAGTCCCATACCGAATTATCTTTTCCTGCACATCTGCACTCTTTAATCATTGTCTCTTTCTGTATTGAAAAAAAAAATAAAATCAGTATCATCTTAGTTAGGCAGATAGCAAGGTAAGTTGCCTCTGATCCTCACTGTTTCTCACCGCCCATACCTGGCTCTCTGTTTCAGAAATATCACTGACTCCCATCCTGTCTCTACATCCACACTCTCCCAGCTCCCCCCCCCCATCACCACAGTTTGATTCAGATTTTAATTATCTCTTCCGTAGAGTCGGCTACTTGAGTTATCGGTAGAAGGAAAATCTTGTATCTAACCGTGCCACTTCCCATCTCTCAAGAAGCACTTCAGTGCTCATCTTAAGACTTAAGAGGACCTTGTACTTCAGCTTGCCAGTTCATCCCAATAGAATAGCCAAAAAAAAAAAAAAAGTGGAGAAGATTCGTGTGTGCTTGCCTAGTTTTTACTAAGCTCAGTATTATATTTTTTAAAAAGGGATAAAAATATTTACTATAACACAAATTGGGAGAATTGCAATATAGAATCTAAACTGTCTAGCCAGAAGGATAATTTTTAAGCAAACTCATCCAGCTAATATGGAAAAATATAAAAATCATTGAAAATTGTTTTTTTCCTGATACATTCTGGCAGCAATGAAAATTTTCTATAATAGAATGCATAAAATTTTTAGGCAGAATACAAAATAAATGTATATATAGAATGAGCCCAGTTATATAATATAATGACAACTGGAACAAAGGATACCAACGTGCTAAGATTTGTGATATGGGTAATTTTAAAACTATTCTGGGTCTATTTTGCGAGAGCTTTAAAATAAATGTTAAAAGAGAATCTTATTTTTTTTTTATGAGAAGAGAATTCTGTTTGTTTGGGGAAATACCTGAATGGTGCTTGGCCCAGAAAAAGAGATGCTAAAGGAGCCGGATGTGGGCAGGAAAATTCTGCATGAGGGATGAGGATGAATCGGTGCCTCCAGGAAGATGAGGGTGGAATGAAGTCAGAGAGATGACAAAGTGACTACTCACTCATGAACTGCTGGGTAGATTTCTATTTTTTTTTAATGGAAGAAATGGAGTTTCTCCTCCTCTGAGTTGTTGTGTGGGAAGCAATGTCACATGAAAAAGTCCCTAACTTGTCAGAAAGGGATCAAAGGAAACCAAGAACTCTAATAAGAAAATAAGCTTGGAGCTCGAGCCGTGCTAAACTCTCTAACTCATAGGGAACTGCCACCAACATTTTCTTATTTTTTAAAAAAAACTTTTAGCACTCTAGGTCTTCTGCATTGTGTGTGTGTGTGTGTGTGTGTGTGTGTGTGTGTGTATGTGTGCATTAACACATGAATTCAGAGGGAATGGATTCCAGAAACTCAACAGCCCGAGCTCTTTTCTGTCTGTCTGCACAAACCTTACTTCTCTGGGTGGAGCTGGCCGGTGCTTCAGCTGGACCCAGGCACCTAGATCTTTGACTTTTTTTTCTTCTCATGGTTTTCCTTCACCCTTTTCAGATGGCTGTCATAGCTCTCCTGGTGCCTAATAGACTCAATCTGTGCATTAATTCTCTTAGCAGGTTGTCTTGCCCTTGACTTGCTAATTTACAAGGATGACCCATGGAACACCATATGATTTTATAGACTAGCAGTTCTTTTTTTTTTAATTGAGCTCTACATTTTTCTCTGCTCTTCTCCCTGTCTCTTCCCTCCCCTTCGACCCTCTCCCAAGGTCCCTATGCTCCCAATTTACTCAGGAGATCTTGTCTTTTTCTACTTCCCACGTAGATTAGATCTATGTATGTCTCTCTTAGGGTCCTCATTGTTGTCTAGGTTCTCTGGGATTGTGGTTTGTGGGCTGGTTTTCTTTGCTTTATGTTTAAAAACCACGTAAGAGTGAGTACATGTGATAATTATCTTTCTGTGTCTGGGTTACCTCACTCTAAATGATGTTTTCTAGCTCCATCCATTTGCCTGCAAAATTCAAGATGTCATTTTTTTCTGCTGTGTAGTACTCCATTATGTAAATGTACCATTCCTTA